CAGCCCCAAACATGTTCCAAAGACATTCAAGCTGTCCTGCAGGCTCAGGGAGCATCAGTGTCAGCGCGAACTATCCGTCGACATTTAAATGAAATGAAACGCTATGGCAGGAGACCCAGGAGGACCCCACTGCTGACACAGAGACATAAAAAAGCAAGACTACAGTTTGCCAAAATGTACTTGAGTAAGCCAAAAGCCTTCTGGGAAAACGTCTTGTGGACAGATGAGACCAAGATAGAGCTTTTCGGTAAAGCACATCATTCTACTGTTTACCGAAAACGGAATGAGGCCTACAAAGAACAAAACACAGTACCTACGGTAAAATATGGTGGAGGTTCAATGATGTTTTGGGGTTGTTTTGCTGCCTCTGGCACTGGGTGCCTTGACTGTGTGCAAGGCATCATGAAATCTGAGGATTACCAAAGGATTTTGGGTCGCACTGTAGGGCCCAGTGTCAGAAAGCTGGGTTTGCGTCCAAGATCCTGGGTCTTCCAGCAGGACAATGACCCCAAACATACGTCAAAAAGCACTCAGAAATGGATGGCAAAGAAGCGCTGGAGAGTTCTGAAGTGGCCAGCAATGAGCCCAGATCTAAATCCCATTGAACTGTGGAGAGATCTTAAAATTGCTGTTGGGAAAAGGTGTCCTTCCAATAAGAGAGACCTGGAGCTGTTTGCAAAGGAAGAGTGGTCCAAAATTCCGGGTGAGAGGTGTCAGAAGCTTATTGATGGTTATAGGAAGCGACTGATTTCAGTTATGTTTTCCAAAGGGTGTGCAACCAAATATTAAGTTAAGGGTGCCAATACTTTTGTCCAGCCCATTTTTGGGGGTTTTGTGTGACATTATGTCATATTTGCTTTTCTGCCTCTGTTTTTATTTTGTTCCAATACATACAAAGGGAATAAACATGTGTATAGCAAAACATGTGTTAATGCAATACCTTTTTTGTGTGAAATACTTGATTTTCAGGAAAAATATCAAGGGTGCCAACAATTTCGGCCATGACTGTACATATATATCATGCATCTTCAATTCCTTATTTTAGTGTAGTAGGTGAAGCCATCCAAGAAATTCCTTTATGCTCTTGTAGCCAATTGCGTATCCAAGCTGCTGTTCTCTAGCACTTCCACAGCCTGAATAGAGAGTAATTTATCTAGCATACATTTTTTTCAGTATATTGTCTTTGTCAGAGGTTTCTGTGGCAATGAAGAGAATTTACAAAGAATAACCATAAAAAAGCAAAACCATCCACTTTTAAAACATATTTAGACAGATTTAAAACATATTTATGGCACGCTTTCCCCTCATTCAGGTGGTCAGACACTATAGCTAACTACAAACAACGACCTTTGAGCACGTATCAACGCAGTATCACAAACATGAGACTGTAGTCTTGGCTGGCTTAAATCAGGTTTGGTCTCCACCCAGAGACTGGCCACATCAATCACCTTGCAGGTGGAGAGACAGACAAGGAGAATGTATCACAACCAAAACCAGGATGCTGCAATGAGACCAGCAGCTGTGATGGAGCAGGAGCGCTACTTGTTCCTGACAATTAAATAATTTACCAGTCTTCATCAAATAATAACTGAATCAGCCAGAAATGTTTCATATTTTATTTTCCATAGACTCCATAGGAAGGAGAGGGCAGGAGTGTGAAATGCACAGAGTGTAGAGGTCAGGAGTGCATAATGTGCATTGTGCAGGAATCAAGTGTAGGTAACCCACAGAATGAAGGAGTCAGGAGAACATATCCCACAGAGTGCAGGGCTCAGGAGTGCATAGTGCACAGAGTGTAGGGGTTAGAAGTGTCTGATGCACAGTGTCTGATACATAGAACATAAAGTGCAGGGGTCAGGAGAACCTAACACACAGAGTACCAGGGCCACAATTACATAAAACACTGATTGTGGGGGCCAGATGGCAGGAATATGTTATGCACAGACTATAGGGGTCAGGGAAACATAACACAATGAGTACAGGGATGTGTAACACAACCTAGTGTGGGGTCAAGATTTGTAATGAAAGTAAAACTCTCCTCAATGTCTCCCTGAAGCAACAACATTATCATCCCAGTACAACAGCTCAAATCCCCCCCCCTCCTCCTTTTCTGACTTGGGCATCTAGCAAAAGATGTGGGAATGTGCCTGGGTGTCTGGCATGCCCTTGCCAGAAGTGATGAAGAATTAAATCACAGGAATTACATGAATAGAATAGAAGAAAAACTCTTCCAATGAGCTCACCTGTTATAGCAACAGCTGTCTGATAGGGTAGTCCACTCACTTTGGAGGAATCCTCTTACTTCCTGTTGTTTTTCTGGCATAAGTTAAACATTTCTAAAAAGGACACAGAAAAAAAATCTTAAGCTAACCACATACTGTTATATTTTTTCGTTCATCCAGTGGGTTGACTGAACGTTCACCTACAATGAAATGATGATGAAATGATCCTCCCTGCCAAGACATTGTATTCTGACTACACTAATCAGTGGCTGCAGCCTATTGGTCGTTGCTGCTGATCGAGAACAAAATATTCTAACAAATTTGAATGACTTCTTGAATTGAGCAGGGAGTATGATGCACTAATTGAAATTCATGTGGTTCAGCAGGGACCAGGGGCGGACTGACAACTCATGGGGCCCCCGGGCAATAGGGGATCATGGTCCTTGCCCAAACTCAAAAAAGCCTATGAAAAAGGTACCAGGGGCATCTCATGGGGCCCCCTACTGACCCCGGGCCCTCGGGCGGTGCCCGACTTTCCAAATGGTCAGTCCGCCCCTGGCAGGGACCAAACAAATTTTAATTAGTGAGTCACCAACTTTACACAGGTTTTAACTATTCCCTGCAGTATCTAAAATGTTAACCATTTCAGGTTTTTAGAATGCATCCCTTGCATCCAGCTTCTCTACCCCTGCTGACACTTCCCTGCTTCTTGTACAGACAATTACCATGAATGACTGTTGGTAATAGCTTTTTATTACATAGCAAGACTGGCTATCAAAATGCAGCTGTTCCTATGTAAATTTACACTTGCAGATAGTCTGCAGATGTCATGGAGTAAATATTTATTAATTACAACAGATCAATGTATTTTTTCATTGTATTCATTATTTCATTCATTCATATGTAGTTCAATGTGCATGTGTGACCTGTGGTCTACATATAAATCACTTAAAGAAACCTTAAAAGTTAATAATTTATATTTGTTACTTTTTTAGTGTCATAACAAGAAATTGTGCAAAATTAAAATTTTTCAAATTTTAGAGGAATGCTGGCAAAAAAAGATTTTGCTCAACTTTCTAAAAAAAAAAACTAAAAAAAAGTATACACTATATATATTTTTGTTTAATAATTTTTCCTTTCTTTATTCCACTTACTGTTGACTGATTCACTATTTCTGTTGGAAGTTTATTCCAAGCATCAAATGCTCTTTCGGTAAAATAATACTTTCTAAGATTAGTTTTAAACTTTCTCCCTGCTAGTTTGAGGTCATGTATCTGTGTTCTTGATCTCAGCTTAGCTTGAAAATACTGCCCTCTTAACCCTTATTCACACCCTTAATGTATTTTAAGGTTTCAGTAATGTCTCCCCCTCCCTTCTAGGAGGACTAACATAAGACAAAGACCCCTTTCACAAGTGCAGACCATTTGTCCGTTTTTCATCCATCTGGCGATGGATGAAAAATGGACATCAATGCATCTGTATGGAAAAACAGAATGTTATTATTATACCGGATTTTTTATAACACCAACAGTTTGCGCAGCGCTTTACAACGTGAAGGCAAACAGTACAGTTACAATACAATTCAATACGGGAGGAATGAGAGGGCCCTGCTCGTTAGAGCTTACAATCTAAAAGGGGAGGGTCAAGTGATACAAAAGGTAATAACTGTGGGGAATGAGCTGATGGAGAAAATAAATGTACAGTTGTTAGGTGAAGGCAGAATAGTCTTCTCTGAAAAGTTTTCAGGGATCATCTAAAAGTGGACAGCGTAGGAGATATACAGACAGATTGGGGTAGGGAATTCCATAGGATGAGAAATGTTCAGGAGAAGCCCTGGAAGCCAGCATGGGAGGAGGTGACAAGGGAACTAGAAATCAGGAAGTCTTAAGAGGAACGAAGAGAGTGATTTGGTTGGAATTTTGAGAGTAGGTTCATGATGAAGCTGGGGGCTGAGTTGTGGATGGCTTTCTAAGTAGTTTGAATTTGCTTTGTTGGGTGAGTGGCAGCCAAGAGCAGGGATTGGCAGAGAGGGGAGGCAGAAACTGAACGGCTCGTAAGGTGGATGAGTCTGGCAGCAGCATTCATGCTGGACTGCAGGGGAGATGTAGTCTATTTAAAGGTAAACCAATGAGGAGGGAGTTGCAGTAGTCGAAGCGAAATATAACCTGGGAGTGAATCAGGACCTTTGTGGTGTCATTGGTTAGGAAGGGGCCTATTTTGGAGATGTTGCAGAGGTTGAGACGGAAAGCTTTGGAAACTAATTGAATTGGATGTGGGGATGAAAGGAGAGTTCAGAGTCCAGGATTACACTTAGCACCTGGAATGCGGGGACGGGTTGATGTGCTATTAATCTTTAATCCAAACAACTTTTATTGTCAAGATAATAGAAAAAATGGAACAGTACTTACAGAATCCACAATGACATTACTGCAACAGCAGGATTACACATACATAGAACAATGTGGATACGCAGTTCCGCAATAAACAGAATAACAGAAATGGTAATCAAACAAAACAGAGACCACAATGATCCAATACTTTCTTGAGAATATCTTGCTTTTTCCTGTTTAGGAATTATCAATGCAGATGTCTTCTGTGACAGTTGCCAGTTATCCGCAGTACTTTCCTGATGCTGTTGTGAGATGGGGAAACAGCTCTCATTGTTTGAACACTGTTTGTGTGGAAGTAAATTAATGTTTTGGCTGACATTCTGTGGTTTAGCCACAAGATGTCACTGTTTTTCTAACACAGCCTCAGACTGCATAGATATTTGTATATTCATGAAGAGGTGGGGTTTTGCACTCAGAGTTGGAGTTTTAGTGAACAGGAAGAGGAGACAGCAGCCATGTTTTGGACGATGCTGAATGAAGGAGCCGTGTGAGCTGATGAGATTGCGGCTGCTAGGAAGCTGATGAGATTGCTGCCAGGAAGCTGATGAGATTGCTGCCAGGAAGCTGATGAGATTGCTGCCAGGAAGCTGATGAGAGCAGAGGAACTAAGCAACATATATACGGCGAGACCGCATGCTTGTTGGAGAGACATTTGTTTTGTTCAGTCACCAGCAGATGCAAAGCAGACCCTGGTCGGTAAGATCGTGCACGCACCTCATTTCAGTGTTGGTGCCTTGAGACTGAGTCCAGGCCTATAGTTAATTAAAGTGACATTTCACATTGGAGAACTGCTAAAATCCTACAAACTCAAGCCAGACTGGCGTTTTGCTCAGAAGGAATACTCAGGCACGAGCTACAGGACCAGTTATGGGAGGGGGAATACTGTAGATTTGTGTAAGATTGTAAGCTGTTGTGCTGCACCGCAGGCTAGCCCATACCGTACACCCATACACTGATTCTTGCTCTTTTAGGGTAATAACAGGTCAGGTGTGGCAACTTATTTGTACCCGCCAGTAGGTAAATTACTTCACTTTTTACCTTCATCCATCAGAAGGCGCTGTGCTGTGCAGCACAAGGGTCTCAGCCTTTGGGCTGGGTGTGTGTAAATTTATTGTATGTTTCTAGCATTTGTGGTTGTGTTTATTTGCCACATCTAAGTAAAATTCTGTTGTGGCAAAAGCTGGTGTTGGGGTTGCTTTCCTCGTTCGTGACTTCACTGTATCCTGGGGAGCCCACCCCGGTACACGGCTTACACTGTGATAGTGTGAGGAAAGTGCTGCCGATAACTGGCAACTGTATTTACTTTATGATCAACTGTACCATTGGACACAGCTGATCACGTGGTAAAAGGCCGCTGCGATTGGCCTTTTACCTTGTCATGTAATCAGCTTTGTCCCTAGGACAATGGGGGCACATTCTGGGAAGATGTCATAACACCCTCCCAGAACTGGGCAACCACGCTGTGGAGAAATGGTGGGTATGGAGACAAATAGTGCCATCATCCCTTGCAGAACCATATGTGGAAACACTCTCTTATGATGGGATTTTTTAAGGCACAAACAAATCAAAAAATGTTAAATTCATCAAAATTTATAAAACCATCCTTTATTAAGCACAGAATGTTTTAAAATTTCCACAGACATAGAAAGGGTGGCAGTTATATGTTACAATTATCTGTTATAATAAATGTACAGGCAGGAAAGATGGAATAAGAATCATGAAATAGCACTTGACCCGTTTCAAGATGATAGACTATCTCTTCCTCAAAAGTGCTTAAATAGGACATGATACCTATTATATAGATATATAAGTAAAATTATATCAATGTAATACCTAGATTCCCAATTTCATTTACAAATATATAAAGAAACACTTACATAACCCAAAATGGGACAAAAGATAGAAGACTGCCACTTGTTATAAAACCAAAAGCCATATGTGTAGCCACTGTGTCTCAAATCTTCCCAGATAGGTGTGGGGAAAAGGGAAGCACGCCACCCTTGTTGCCTTCAAGAGTGGCCCCCCAAGGGCACCACCAAAGGGATAGTCAAATGTTTCAAAATTCAGATTGATCTCTAAAAAATGCATTAATGATAGTAAAAAGGAGTAGTTAGCTGACACCCTGACACAAAAACAATATATTGATAAATACCATCCCACATTGCTCTTTATAAGACAAAAGTATGCTTACTAAGCAAGTCTGAAAATAGGTAGTCCCCCACATAAAGAGTCACAGATTGTTGCTGCAAACAGGCATGGAAACGACTTCCTTGGTGTTATTAAATATATAGAGAAGGGTCATGTATATTAAGTATATAAATGGCGTATGTATATGCCGATAAATAAAACTAAAACATATGTAGATATTACATACCAGCTGCACAGAGAATGTGAAGTGATCTATCCAGTGGCTGCATATGCACAATGTGGGCAGTAAAGATGGCGTCTTGTATGAGATGGGATGGCTGGAAATACCACCAATCCACACAAAAATATGTACGAGTCAGGGAATCCCATCCACTCCAGTTATCCGTGGTGGCCACTCCCCGGCCGCAGGGTGCGTAGCACCACCATGCCCGACATCGGTGTGATGACGTCACACTGCCACTGCCAGGCAATGCAAACCCAGAAGTGGCGGTGGCCAAAGAGAGAGGCCAAGCCAGGCCTTGCTCTGATGGTAGATGGCCACCATGCCCACCCCTAGGATAAATAACCGTCACCCCTGTCGGGCAGAACTGGTGGGCTTTGTGCGCAGGGAAGGCAAACCCAGTTCGGCAACGAATGGAAAGGAAGAGGGGAGAGGAAATAAAACACCATTATTCCTAGAGAAGAGAGTTGGAACAGGGAAGAACCCAGTGACTACATAAGTGGATAATATAAATGTACAATAGAATCATCATATACATAAATCAATAAATATATACATTCTTTAAGTGGTGCAGCAAATACTCAGCAATTGTTGTATGCTCTTATTCAGATATAAAATAAGTGATATGATGGAAAATATATCTGTATAGATTAAATTAAAGGTATACTAGATGATGAGTGGGAAAAAATACCACAGCTCCAAACAACCTGAATCCCCCTGTAGATGATGAGCATGGTGTTATAGGTTCTTTTCACATCCTCCAGAAACAAAGCCCTCCAAAAATAGCTTGAAGGACATAGATTTGTTGAGACCAGGAAAAGCTGTGGCATTTAGTCGTTGAATCCATCTCAGCTCACTCTGGAGTAGGCTCTTATTCCAGTCCCCTCCACGTGGGCTGGGATGGATCCTAATCAAAATCAAAAACTGAATTTTAGGAAAAGTACCTCAATGTAAGCCAGTAGTGAGGTGTCCCAGTGGCCCCTCAACATTGTGAGACTTCATATTGGAAATATGATGATAAGCCCGACGCCAAAATTCCAGTTTTGTTTTTCCTACATAAAAACAATTGCAGTCACACATTAACAAATAAACCACTCCCTTTGTTTTACAGTTACTATAGTGCTTAGGTAACTGGAGTGGATGGGATTCCCTGACTCATACATATTTTTGTGTGGATTGGGATTGGCATATACATACGCCATTTATATACAGTGGGGTAAAAAAGTATTTAGTCAGCCACCAATTGTGCAAGTTCTCCCACTTAAAAATATGAGAGAGGCCTGTAATTGGCATCATAGGTAGATCTCAACTATGAGAGACAAAATGAGAAAAAAAATCCAGACAATCACATTGGTTGATTTGGAAAGAATTTATTTGCAAATTATGGGGGAAAATAAGTATTTGGTCACCTACAAACAAGCAAGATTTCTGGCTCTCACAGACCTGTACCTTCTTTTTAAGAGGCTCCTCTGTCCTGCACTCATTACCTGTATCAATGGCCCTGTTTGAACTTGTTATCAGTATAAAAGACACCTGTCCACAACCTCAAACAGTCACACTCCAAACTCCACTATGGTGAAGACCAAAGAGCTGTCGAAGGACACCAGAAACAAAATTGTAGACCTGCACCAGGCTGGGAAAACTGAATCTGCAATAGGCAAGCAGCTTGGTGTGAACAAATCAACTGTGGGAGCAATAATTATAAAATGGAAGACATACAAGACCACTGATAATCTCCCTCGATCTGGGGCTCCACGCAAGATCTCACCCCGTGAGGTCAAAATGATCACAAGAACGGTGAGCAAAAATCCCAGGACCACACGGGGGGACCTAGTGAATGACCTGCAGAGAGCTGGGACCAACGTAACAAAGGCTACCATCAGTAACACACTACGCCGCCAGGGACTCAATTCCTGCAGTGCTAGACTTGACCCTCTGCTTAAGCCAGTACATGTCCGGGCCCGTCTGAAGTTTGCTAGAGAGCATTTGGATGATCCAGAAGAGGATTGGGAGAATGTCATATGGTCAGATGAAACCAAAATAGAACTGTTTGATAGAAACACAACTCGTCGTGTTTGGAGGAGACAGAATGCTGAGTTGCATCCAAAGAACACCATACCCACTGTGAAGCATGGAGGTGGCAACATCATGCTTTGGGGCTGTTTCTCCGCAAAGGGACCAGGACGACTGATCCATGTACAGGACAGAATGAATGGGGCCATGTATCATGAGATTTTGAGTGCAAACCTCCTTCCATCAGCAAGGGCATTGAAGATGAAACGTGGCTGGGTATTCCAACATGACAATGATCCCAAACATACCGCCCGTGCAACGAAGGAGTGGCATCGTAAGAAGCATTTCAAGATCCTGGAGTGGCCTAGTCAGTCTCCAGATCTCAACCCTATAGAAAACCTTTGGAGGGAGTTGAAAGTCCGTGTTGCCCAGCGACAGCCCCAAAACATCACTGCTCTAGAGGAGATCTGCATGGAGGAATGGGTCAACATACCAGCAACAGTGTGTGCCAACCTTGCGAAGACTTACAGGAAACGTTTGACCTCTGTCATTGCCAACAAAGGATATATACCAAAGTATTGAGATGAACTTTTGATATTGACCAAATACTTATTTTCCACCATAATTTGCAAATAAATTCTTTCCAAAATCAGCCAATGTGATTGTCTGGATCTGGATTTTTTTTTCTCATTTTGTCTCTCATAGTTGAGGTCTACCTATGATGCCAATTACAGGCCTCTCTCATCTTTTTAAGTGGGAGAACTTGCACAATTGGTGGCTGACTAAATACTTTTTTGCCCCACTGTACTTAATATACATGACCTTTTTCTATATATTTAATAACACTAAGGAAGTCGTTTCCATGCCAGTTTCCAGCAACAATCTGTGACTCTTTATATGGGGGACTACCTATTTTCAGACGTGCTTAGTAAGCACACTTTTGTCTTATAGTGCAATATGGGATGGTATTTATCAATATATTGTTTTTGTGTCAGGTTGTCAGCTAACTACTCCTTTTTACTAATATTAATGCATTTTTTAGAGATCAATCTGAATTTTGAAACATTTGACTATGCCTCTGGTGGTGCCCTTGGGGGGTCACTCTTGAAGGCAACAAGGGTGGCGTGCTTCCCTTTTCCCCACACCTATCTGGGAAGATTTGAGACACAGTGGCTACACATATGGATTTTGGTTTTATAACAAGTGGCAGTCTTCTATCTTTTGTCCCATTTTGGGTTATGTAACTGTTTCTTTATATATTTGTAAATGAAATTGGGAATCTATGTATTACATTGATATAATTTTACTTATATATCTATATCATAGGTATCATGTCTTATTTAAGCACTTTTGAGGAAGAGAT